GATAGCATTTTTCAGATTTACATCATGAAGTGTATTTTGGACATATTTATCACTAACAATATCAAAGTTTCTCCTACTTTACAAAGAGATTCAGGTTAAAAATTATAAATACTAGTTTGTTAATATAACAAATCATATTAGTTTTACTTTTAAATGTTACATCAACTTTGCATTCCTGGGATAACTACAGCTTGGTCATAAAATGGCAGACTACATTTTATTTGCTCAATTTTGTTTTGTTTCTTTTCAGTTACGTTCATAAAGATTTTCTTGTAATGGCAAATACTATCATCGAGATTTTTCAAGTGTTATAACCTGGGTTGTGATATCTCTTTTAGGTATTTTTCTTTTTCTTTGTCTTTGCTTTTATTTATTTTAAGAGTCAAAGTAGATTTCATTACACACACACACACACACACACACACACACACACACACGCATGCATTGTATACTGTGAGAGTTTGTATACAGTGAGAGTTCCCAAGCATTTCTCACTCTGTTTCCTCCACAGTCGATTTTTTACATTATCAGATAGAAGACCAGAATTAGAAAAGCAGCATTGCTAAATTATTGTGATAATGATAAAAGCCAGGCCTTGTTCCTACTGGTGTCCTCTTTTGTTCCATGATCTATTGCATCACGCTTTATAGAAATTTAAAATTTTAAAAAGAAATTATTTTTATACAATATATTTTAAGTACATTCTTTCTCTCCCCTAACTCTTTCCAGAGCCTGCCCACTCACAGGTTTCTCAGTTGCCTTGGAGGCCTTTGTGTAGGGTCGAGGCCTTGTGGGCTTTCCCTGGCTGATCTGGCATGTTCGCTGGTGTCATCCTTATTCAGTTCCCATTTGGGCAGTCATGATGGTGAGGCTTTCCAGGTAGAGCTTTTGAGGTTCCACTCTGAGAACAAAGCTCCTGGTCTTCAGATTGTTGTATTCTTTCTGCCCCCTCTGCTGCAACATTCCCTGAGACTGCAATGTGGGAGTATTTGTAAATGTATCACTGTGTTTGCCTTCTTCATGGTATTTTCATATGCAATCCCTACTTTATTTCTGTTGGCTAGTTTTTCTTTTTCTCTGTTCTCAGCTAAATTCATCTGGAACAAACCAGCCCATCAATGCTGAATATTGACAGGCTGCCTGTTCTCGGTGTACTTTGCAAGTTATGTTTTATGTCACTAATGATGCAAATATTACCCTCAGAAGACTATGAGAAGTTAAGAATATTATTATTTCCTGAAACATAGATTGAGAGTTAAAAGGGGAGCCTATAAACAGTGTATTCAAGGACTTCGTAAGTCAGTGCTAAAAATCCCAGAGTCAGTAAAGTAATATAAACAATGAAGTGACCAAGCCCTATGGAAGACGACTGATCAAACACATAAGATGAATACTATCATTCTGCTTTATAGCAAAATAAAAGGCATGAAGAGATAATTCAAAACATAAAAACCAATTTCTTTTGTTTTCTGAAGTCTGTGTATTGTGATTATATTGCTAGATAATCTGATTTTTAAATTAAAAAGAAGAAAATAAATTAAATCACTAACTAGATGTATATAGCTCGGGCTTCAAGGTTAAGCAATTTATTTTAGGTTGCTGATCATGTGCTAATTTGGAGAATTCCTTGTCTATAGTAATCTGCTGATTTGAATCCTTTTTCAATGAAAAAAATTTTCTTATGTATTTGATTTTTACACAAGAAGAATTCAGTCCATCTTGTTTCCCCAGAATTCATTCGGTACCTCAGATTAAGTCAAGAAAATCTTCAGACTTCCCTGTGTTGACTATTTTCTTGAAATTTTGCATAGAGCTGCCTACAATGTGCTGTTGCTAGATTCTCCAGGTAAAAGAAAATAACAACTATCTCCCCACATGTAAATAACCCCACGAGATATAAAAGCCTTCATGTGTTTGCTATTTCAAAACTTTTGAGGAAATTATCTGCCACATCAAACTTTGTAACCAAAGTCAATAGTGAATAGTTATAAGAGAGTGTTCTTAAATTAGTGGTAGGAATAAAGACTTCAGTTTTGACTTTACATTCAAGCATGTTTAAGGCCAGGTCAGAGAGTCAGTGAAGAAATAAGACCATTACACCCTACAGATTAATATTTCTGTTCATTATCTTATTATTTATCCACACTTTATTTAGAAATATGTTATGTGTATTCATGTCTTATATTTTGCTAATATGTGTTGTATGTATAATTTGTGGAGCTTTTTATAAATGTCAAGTGACATAATAAGTTGGCTAGGGAAAAATTTGTTCATGGAAAGTGGATTAAATGCAGCAGATTACTATAGACAAGGAATTCTACAAATTAGTACATGATCAGCAACCTAAAATAAATTACCTAATTTTGAAACCCAGGCTATATACATCTAATTGGTGGTTTAATTTATTTCTCTTTTTTAATAGCATTACAAGAAGTTCAGAAAATTAAAGAAGTTGGTTTTTATGTTTTGAATTATCTCATGTCTGTCATTACGTTATAAAGTACAATGATAGCATGTTTATGTGCTTGACTTTTAAGTTTCTTATTTTTAGTATTTTAGATGCTAGCTACTCAAACAACGCTGATTTGATCTTTGTACATTCTATCCATGTATTGAAGTGTTGTGCTGTACCTTTTAAATATGTTGTGTCAATTAAAATCAAAATATTGTCTTAAAACTAATTATCTTAAAAGCAAAAATGTTAAATTTTTGGAAAAATATATTAATGCTTCTTAAAATAAAAATGAAAGTCAAATTATAATATTAATATCAGTGTGTGTTTATATTTTCTTCATTAGTAGCATTACCATAATCACATTTTTATAGGATTCTTGGAATAAATTATATACTAGGACTTTGAGACCCAATCCTTAGTTCATTTAAGTTCAGCTCCATTATGGCAGGTCTTGTTTTTAAAAAAAGGGAGAGATGACGGATGGATGGATGGATGGATGGATGGATGGATGGATGGATGGATAGATGGATAGATAGGTAGATGGATAGATGGATAGATAGGTAGAAGGATGGATGGATGGATAGATGGATAGATAGGTAGATGGATGGATAGATGGATAGATAGGTAGATGGATGGATGGATGGATGGATGGATGGATGGATGGATGGATAGATGGATGGATAGATGGATAGATAGGTAGATGGATGGATGGATGGATGGATGGATGGATGGATGGATGGATAGATGGATAGATAGGTAGATGGATGGAT